GCCGGTCACCTGGAGAAGAGCTCCTGCGACTCCACGCAGGCCCTCGTGGCCTTCTCCGACGTGGATCTTGTTCTGGAAGCTTCCGAGGCTGGGCGGCCCCCAGGGCCAGAGACCTACGGCTTCCTCACGGGCACCCTCGTCTCCTGCCCACAGCCAGAGAGCCCCAGGCCGGAGGGCAGCCACTTGGTTGAGCCAGAGGGAACCCACTTTGGGAACCAGCTACCCCCCATGGACAGAGAGCTGCTGCTGAAGGCAGAGGGGGCCGCCCCTGGTGGCGGGGGCGTGGCGGCGGGCAGGGGCATCCAGCCCTCAGGCTCAGCCTTTGCCCCCCACGTATAAATGGCGCCCCATCCTTGTCTCCGCCTCCTCCTTCCCTCCCCTCCGTGAACAATGGCTGTTTATAAAATAAATCCAGCCCGCACGCAGCCGCGTGGCCCGTGGGAGGTGGCCCCGGCCCTGGCTCGCTGGTCTCCTGTGGCCGTCACCAGCCTGTGCTGGTTTCCTTCGGGCCTCTTCCCGATCACATCGGAGGCTGTGGAGCGAGATCGGGAAGTTGGGGTGCTGAGCAGGCCCCGGGTCTGGGCCCTGATGGAGGAAGGAAGGTCTACGAGGGACCAGAGAGGCAGCTGGGCATCTCCCCCGTGGCTCACGGCTCGGACCCAACCCGTGTCTGTGTCTCTCGAGCCTGGACGTGTGCCGTGATGACGGGTGCGGGAAGACGTGACATGCGGCGTCCCTCCTCGGAGGGTCACTGTGCGGGTCGGGCGGTGCCGGCTCTGCCGACGGCGTCTCCCTGGTTCCCACGCGGCTTGACCACGGGTTCCGTTTGCCTGGTTGGTTTTCGTGGGATAGCTGACGGCATCTCAGAGGATTCACACCTGTGCCTCCCGGGGCCCCGTCTCCGCCCCGCCCGGGGGCCCCACAGGATCGCGGCTCCACAGGACGCCCCCGTCCGTGAGGGCCCGGACCCAAGGCGCCTGAATCTGGCGCTGATTTGAAGACTGTGGCTGGACGGAGCCTGCAGCTCCTTGGCCTCCTTCCAGGAAGAACGAAAGGCCTACTGGGTGTACCGGTCAGTCATGCGGATACCGGTTAGTAATGAGGATTGGCCCTTTACCGGTCAGTCATGCGGATACCGGTCAGTCATGCGGATACCGGTTAGTCATGAGGGTACCGGTTAGTAATGCGGATTGGCCCTTTACCGGTTAGTCAGGCGGATACCGGTTAGTCAGGCGGGTACCAGTTAGTAATGCGGATACCGGTTAGTCATGCGAATTGGCCCTTTACCGGTTAGTCATGCGGATTGGCCCTTTACCGGTTAGTAATGCGGATTGGCCCTTTACCGGTTAGTCATGCGGATACCGGTTAGTAATGCGGATTTTGTCATCAAAGAAAACATAATTTCAAGAGAAACATCAAAAGTGCTTTGTTCAAAGTAACGTTCCTCGCCAGCTACACATTTCCCCCGTCTTTCAGGTCATTTGTGGAGACCGTCGCAATAGAACTTTTCTTGTTTTGAGGCAGACCATTCAGAGACCCAATTTTCCACGTCTTCGTCCGTTTTGAAGGGCTGCTCAGAAAGTACGTGTGCCGTCGATCGGAACGAGTGGTCATCCGAGGGAGCAATACAGCAAAACAGCACACACATCACATCGCATACATATCCACATGTATGTGACCCCCTCTATTGAGAAAAACTGCATTATTCACCGGTTCACTTAGCAAGGATTGGAGGTGGGGCTGAGGAGCCTGAGTGACAGATGCCCAGGGTCCCCCCATCCCTCCTGGCTCACCTCTAACTACCTCTGCTCTGGGGCGGCCACGTCTCCCCCCAGCACTCCTGTCCCTCACTCCTGGGTCCAGCCCCACTCCCCAGCCGCGGTGTGAAGTGTGAGAATGGCCACGATGTAAATATTCGGGCTCTTCTGTACAATAAAGCCCATTGACGTGCCGTGGGTGTCCCTGCGCGCCCCTCCCCCGGCACCTGGGTGAGCCCCGGTGGCAGCTGTGACCTGAAGCCCCGGCCGGTCCCTCCACCTGCAGCCCCTTTAGGCGCATTCCCGTCGGGTGCTCCGGAGGCCGAAGGGCGGGTCTCCCAGGAGGAGGAGCACCCAAGCCTGAGCCGGAGACACGAGAGTCCTGGGAGGCCTGTGACCCCCACGGCTCCCCCCTGGCGACCCGGGTCCTGGGGTGCATTTGGGGTGAGTGACCCTGCAATGCAGAGAGCCACCGTTGTAAGTCGGCCTTTGCTCGGCCCCTTGCTCCTTTTGGCGCTGTCTGGCTTTTTTCACAACGGCTGCTGAGCAGACGGCA